AAAAATAATTATAAGTTATAAAATTAAAACTTATTCATATCACATTTTATCTTGTTTACAACCATTAACAAAATAATTTTACAATTTTAATTAATAAGAATAAATAGATATTTATCAAATATTAATTAAATATTGAAGATATTTTTTATAAAATAAATCAAATAGTAATCTATAATATTTATCTTGTTAATAAATTATTTAATATATTTTTACTTTTGAATTAAATTATATTTTAGCTAGTTATATATTAAATATTATTATTAGATGAATTTTTGATAAAGCTTAGTAAATTATAACTTGTATTTAAAATATTCTTGTTAATATTTTTATTTTTAAGAAAATGCTTAATATTATTATAAACTCTTATTTGATTAATATATATATATAATAATTTAGAATTTAAAACTAGTAATAAAGTATTTATATTAAAAAGATAATAATATATAAATTATTGCTAATTCTAAAACTTTTATATACTGAGTATACTTTTAATTATAACAAATTATTTTCAAATTTATAATAGTATAAAGAGAATATATGCCAAATAAAATATTTTAAGAATATAAAGTTCTGAATTTTATATATGATCATTATTCATATAAGCTATACAATCAAAATCTAATCTTACCTTATAGAAGACATAAAATTAATGATTATAAAAAAAATGATATTATAGAAATAATACTTTTTTCATAAAATAAAATTATTTTATTATATACTATCATTTGACTATCGTTATGTTCACTTTCTAATATATCAAATCCTTTTCTCAATCTGATTTATAGAAAGCTATATTTGTATATTCTATAACGATATAGAACTTTTGCATTCGAATTAGAAAGATTAGAGGTGTGACAGATATTACGTAATATCTGGGTGGATCACAAATAATCTTACGTTTACTAATCCTAATATGGAAAATATTATATCAATAATAAAAATCACCTGGCTAATATGAGGTTTGGTTTATATTACGTAATATCTGTCACTCCTCTTATTCAGACCCGCATGTGGAATGAAATAATAATGCATGTGGGTTTTTTTCATATTCTGATGGCAACATGTGAACAAAGAACTTTTTACACACATTCCCACAAATCATAAAAAAACTTATACTTTTCCTGTTATACTAACGCTAATATGCAGTGCTATATACTAAATTATTTGTGTAATATTGTATACATGTGCTGAATCTGACACGTGAGGACGCGTCCAAATAAATAGCACTTCTATCGTTTTTTCTTGTTGAATTAAAATACCAGATTTAATAATCATTGAGGAGTTTTTTATTCTTACATTCAATTCAATTCAATTCAATAAGAAGTAAACTACGTCCTTAGTGTTACTCGTAACGGTATATACGAACATGAACGCAGAACTTTTCGTTCTCTTTATAATGCTTTTTTCAACAGTGATATCCATCGATAAATTTTTGGAAAAGAGAGCAAAGGAAAAATATTATCGAGATCGAAATCGCATATTAATACATAGTTTTTTGGATGGAAGAACAAGTAGAGCTGACATTGTAAAGTTATAGTGGGAGTTTTAGACTAACTTGTTTGACCACATCATCAATGGTGAGTAAAAATTATATTTATTCATTTATTTAATATCGGATATGCTTTATTAAAGGACATAATGTTTATAGGATTTGATGCTGAGTGAAGAAATAACAACTGAAAAATAAAAAAGTGTTCAATGGTTCTCGAAACTATTACGAAACTTTTATTAAAAATTACTACATGTGTATATTATTACGGCATAAATGTATCACATTGTACTACAAAAAAACTGTTAAACGTAAAATATTAATTGTAGAAATTTTCCTAGGTATTACATATTTACATATTTACATAATCACCGAAATTTCGATTGGAAGTAAGAGAATTTGAAATAGTAAACATAATAACGATAATAATCTTGAGCTACCATAAACTTAATTCGATAACAATGTTACTCGTTATTTTAAATTAAAACCGTAACGGTAAATTTTGTGCACTGTGCGTCGCGTTTTCCGTTCAAAGAATCAAATTGGAAAATTGGTATTGGTTATAAGGGTTCAGGAGGAAAATAAATTGTATCAAGTCAAAGAATCCAACTGGAAAATTGGTATTGGCTGGAGGAAAAATAATTGTATCCAGTCAACCTCGACCATTATATCAAAGTTTTCGTTGGATATGTAGCGTATAAATGAAGTGAAAGTTCAAAGTGTTAAGGTTTTCTTTAATATAAACAAAAAAGGTTGTAATTTCTTAGATTTAATTATATGTCTTTATGCGAATCGCGAACTTTAAGTGATCCTTTTCAAAGAAACCAGAATTTTTATTGCATTACGGATATCTGAACTTTGACTTTTTTTAAATAAAAATCAATTTTCTACGTGTCAAAGCGTTTCCTCAGCTATCTTCCAAACATTATTCATATAATACTACATCCATTCACAATCAAGAAAGCATAAATATGGTATCACTCTCCAATCATTAAACTTATGAAACTTAAAACATCGTATCATAAGTAGCCCCAGATTTACAAAAATGGCTATAAACATCAGAAAAAAGACGTCAATAAGACGTCTCAATTAATAAAATATTTTAAAACAGTAACTCACATTTTCAATAAAGCTTGATTGTTTCAGCATCGCAATTCCGTTAATTCCAAAAGATTCAGTTGCCTCAAGGATTTTTTGGGTTCCTGGCGAGATATCATTCTTTTCGCGGAATGATGAAACAAACATCGACGATGATTTGTTCACGACAAATCTCGTCTGTTTGTTAATATTATTGATAGTTGGGGGTGTCATGTTCTTGATCTTGATAGGATCCTGAGGTCTTTTTGGTGGGGTTGATTGTCTGGATGAATGTAAATCTTTTGTACTAATATTCATCCTCATATTTGAAGGTGAAGAATTTGTCATATAGTATTTAATACCATTTGGATCATCGTCATTGACAGGTGTACTGGATGCTGATCCCTTCTTTCTATAAGATTTAATAATACTGGTGCGACTATTAACCTTTGTGGAAAGCATAGTTTTCGTCGTTTTGGTCGATTTTTTTATTAATGATGTCTTTACTTTTGTTTGAGTTTGAGAAATAATCGCAAAATTTTTTTTGGTATTGAATTGTGGCTCGGAGAGAACAGTTTTTGCCAGCAGATTATCTTCTTCTTCCTCCTCCTCGTCAGACGTCAACATAATATCAGATGAATGATGACTCGGTGAAATTGGATTTCTTCCAGAGACACGACTAAAATAACTGGTAATAGGAGACTCGAGATTCGTGTGCGCAGTCGAATTTTTTGTTCTTGAGAATAAGAGAGAAGGATTACGTGATGATGTCTTATCGTTTTCAGCATTGTTGAAACGACAATTGTTTATCGGGGAATCAACAGACATCATGTCATCCGAGGTGTCTGAACGAGCAGGGGAATTCTTGACATCTCTCGTATATTGGAGAGGCGATTCAAACATATTTTTAGTTTAAAGACAAAATATTTTTATTATGTTTGTTTACCTACTTTTGGTTTAACGTGAATCTGATTAATTTGTGATCTATAATTGTTTTGGAAATCCCCTCCAGAAGTCAGGTGATGTCAAAATTCTAAGTCTGGCCAGAGTTAAGATTTACGATCAGAGGATAATTTTGGCCGAAATTAAACAGCAATAAACTGCACGTGATTTTTCGCAACATATATACCACGTGGTATGACAAAAAAGTTGCTTTTAGAATATTTGGCTCATCCAGTCACCCAAAGTTAATGCTCATTATACCAGAGATTATCGAAGCAAATGAGCGGGGTATTTTGTAATTTACTTGATAAGGTTATTTAAAAAAGAAATTAATCGCTAGGTTAAAACTAAGCTTAGATAAATAAATATTGTCTTTAAGCTAAGTAATCTTCTTTAAAGAACTTTACAATATTTTGGGCAGTCTCACGATCTAGTGAACAATCCAGTAGCTGCGATTCAGTGGCAGTGGCGATGTTATAAATTGTCTGAAGACCTTCCTGAAGTACATAGCACTCTAGGAATAAAAACATCCGAATGCGATTACTATTAAAATGCTATAAACCATTTACCTTAAATAAATATTCATTCGTACCATGTAATCGTAACTTTTCCGTTCCAGCAGACATTTGAGCAACAAGATGCACCCATTTGTTGGTAGCAATCAAGTTTGTTGGATCATTGACGCTTTGTTCTTTCCACTTTCCAAAATAGAAAATGATATTTAACGCATCGAAAATAAAGATACGCGTATACTGAACAATCAATAAGTTACTTTTGCTAATTGCTGAATGTCCGGTTGAATGTCGGGATGAAGTATCTTCGAGATGAAATCGATAATTTCTTGTACATTATGAACTGGAAAGATCTTTATCATCGCGTAGGATGCGAGTAACCTTTTTTTTCATGATTAGCATATTATTGAGATATAAATCTCATAGGTAATAATAGTTGATACCAACCGAATTTGAATCTCGTACAACGGTTGCATATTTCCATATCCAAGATAGATCAAGAGGTAAACCTTGCGATAACGTTGATTACAAAGTTGAATTCTTAATTTTTGTTAGTTTGTTTGTCGACAACTGAAAATTGAATCGATTGTGTATACCTTTTAATTAGTTTCTGAATAAGATCTTGTTTTTGATTATCAGAGTTCAACGGTTCCCAATCCTTGTAAGAGAGACAAAGAAATGTGACATTCGACTTTGGAAATGTGAGGTCCTAATTAGTAGAGCAAATGCAAAATAACGATTAAGAATGCGATGATCCCGACACATAATAAATTAGTCAAAGCTGCAAAACAATTAATACTCCTGGTGTTGATTGAGTATTCTCAAGGACTAATAATAAAAAGAAATTATTCGGATGAGAATGTTTAATCCAGAAATTGTCATACATTTAAATTCCACATACATCTGACGCGCCATTCTTCTTTTTTCTTCATTTCATCCGCGACAGATTTCCATTCTTCTCCGAGGTTTTTGTTGAAAAGTAATACTGGTTGTGTCATTATGCTTGAATAACAATAATAAAAAAAGATGACGATTCATATTTAGCTTATAGATAAATTAAATAATATATCACCATCCTTAAAACAATCACTCGACTTTATTAATTATTAATTGACATTATATGTTATATCGGACGCAAAATCTGAGTCAAAAACTATAATTACAATCTATTTGATTATATAATTCGAATTAAACCGACTCAATAAACAAGAGTACCAAAAAGAGAATTTATTTTCATTCCTCAATAATTAAACTAATCCTTTACAAACCCAATCCAGTAATTCTAGTATTCTAGTCTGTTATTATTATTGTTATTATTCTAATAATTAATATGCACTTGGGGTGGCCCATTCTTCATTCTCAGAATCGGAAGAAGCTACTTTTTGTTCAATATATTCAACAGTCGTCTTTTCTTCTACAATTTCAAACTTCGAACCATCACCTAATTCATCCGGATCAATTTCATTGCCATCTTCATCGATATACTTTATGATGTCTATTCTTTTTTGAGGGATAACTTTTGTTAAGGTATCTCCAACTTCAGTTGACGCATTTGTTAAGGTACTTTCCCTACGTGGATCATCGTATGAGAAACCTGGGGAACTTAATTGTACTGAAGCTGCCCGGGTGGAAGTTTGCGAGAATTCTGTCATTGTACTATCACGTCGATCAATAAGTGCCTCCAAATTCTTAAGAGGCGGTAAGGAAGGTGCATCAGAAGTACGTATCTTTTGTTGAGTCTCGTAACTTTTCATTACTTGTTCAGCGTATTCCGCAGCACCTCCAGAATCTATATTTGCGGTATTAACCTTAACCACCTCTGTAATATGTGAGCTAGTTGATTTTATCGATATTACTTCAATATCTCGTTTACTATTAGTGAATAATTGGTTCGATGAGACGGTGCCGACTTGTAAATGATCAGTCGATGAGCCTAGTGCTTGTTGCTGTAAATACAGTTCAGCATTGGCTGCTGCTTGAGCATCCAAAAGGAAAGAATTGCGTGGCGTTTCCTCAGCCTCAGAGATAATTGTATTAATAAATGTTTGATCCACAACCGTTGACCCGGCAACATTATCAAAAACGCCAGCTTTTGTTGTAGATTGAGAAGAGCGTTTTGAATCTGTTTCTTTAAATAAAATTTCCGCATCAGACACAAACTTTTCGTGTTCTGTAATAAGATCGGGATCTGGATATTTTTCTTCTCGAAGAACACTTGAAGTTAGAGACGATACTGATTGCTTTCTTTCTTCAATCGGAGAACTAGCTAATATTTGATAAAACTGTAGCATTAGTAAATGAATCAAGTGCAATATTGGAAGATTTCATTATAGGATCACGAGTATTACCTATGGAATCCGCTTTTTCATTGCTTATCCCTTTACCAGGAACAATAGTTGTAGGTGCACGCTGTTTACTATGACCAGATTTATCGTCTTTTTTAATAGCATGAGGACCCGTAGGATTTTGGGACACAACAATTTTATCCTCGTCTGTTGGTTTCTCATTTTTGCTAGTATCATCCGAGGTAGGTTTATCGCCGAATGATACAGGATTGCTTTTTTTATTTTTATTTTTAACTCCCCAAATGCCAGCAAGTCCAGCTCCAATCGCAGCTGCAGTTTTCTGGGCTCCACCAGTCTTTCCATTGTCTGATGATGTAGGTTTATCTTCAGTCATGCTTGGCTTTTTAATATTAGTCGAGGAAGGAATCGTATCATCAGCAGAAGTTGGCGACTGATTTGCAGTTTCATTAGAAGGTTTATTGGATTTCTCAGATGATCCAGAATTTCGTTTCTTGCCTGTTAATCCGAAGCGAACAGCAGCTGGGACAATTTTGATAATTTTACTGGATGGATCCGATGATGAAGGAACCGCATTTTTCTGATTATCATTGTCAACTGGTTTTCTTTTTATTTTTGCAGATAACGAGTCTTGCGGATCAGCTACGCCATGTTGAGTTGCACTTCCACTTCCATCAGCAAATGGATCTTGTGGTGTGCTTGGATTATTCGTTGTCTTGTTTGGCTGAGGTTGAGATTGAACTTGTATTTGATCATCAGGTTGCAATGTTGGTCGACGGGCATGAATAGATGATGTGGATGGCGAAGATGTCGACGAAGAGTTACCATTTGCCCCATTTTGGTTTTCTTGATCCAATAAAGCTTCCTCGTCCTCAATATCTTTTCTACTACGTATATAATCAGTTTTGACAACATATTTTTTCAAGAATGCTTCGAAATTATTGATTCGATCAAGGATAGCCTGGTTTGGATCAGCTTTCTCAATAAATGGTGCGGGCGAGTTTCCGTAATCTCTGGTGACAGTTTGTTTGGTTTTGTCCCTACAACAACAAAGTTGGCAACATCCCCATGGTAGAACGGGTCCAAATCCTGTATGCGTGCATTATTATATCGATCATTTAGTTATTCATCAGAAATTATTTACGAATTATTCGGAACAAAAACTTGATAATTACCAAACAAACAACAGAATACCCCAAGTACAAAGAGACAAAAACCACTGATCAATGCTATTGTTTCCAAAATCTATTTATTTCAAAGAAATTTATCAGATAAGCAATAAATTATTCGCATAAACCAAATTGGATCTGAATGAAACTTACATCATTCATTCTTTATCATTTGGAATTGAGAAGTAAAGAGCATGTTAGTATCGAAGAATGAAGGAGTTGAATCAACCAATAAAAAATAGAAATAACAAAAAGACATACCGATATTCATTTCTCTCTTCGACCACCCAATCCAATGTTCCAACGAGTAGATCACCGTACACACTTCCACGAGAAAGTAAATTAGCCGTAACATTCTTGCTGGCGCCGGGAATAGAAGCAGATTCTATTAATTTTGGATTAAAATTATAATTAATATGTAAGTATCCTAAAAGAATAATAATTACTATCATTATATCGTGTTTTTAAAAGACAAAACTCTAACCAAAGCTAGTGACAATGTAGGGGATAGAAACATGCTGCGAAGGGAATCCCGTATAACTTATCCAAGTTGGGTTTACGCGTTTTGATATTTCTCGTTTGATAAACATAAAATTTCTCTTGAAGAGATTGACAGAAAAATGTTAGCATTAAGAGACAATTGTGAATTAAGTCTCAATAAAATATATACCGCAAAAGTTCCAATAATATTTTTGTTAGTATTATTGAGGGAGGCAAAGAAGTTCGGATCCAACTTTTCAACGGTGTTACGTGTGTTATCCGGCAATGTATAAGGATCGAATTCTATTTTTATTCAACAGAGATTTAAACTTTTTGCAGAAAAAGATGATGATAAATAAATGAAACCAGATAAATACCTGTATCGACAGCAGTTACAAACATTCCTAAATCATTCGTGGCGTTATAAGAATCATCATCTAAAACAATGGTGAAATGAGCACCATATCGTTGATCAGGTCGACTAAAATTCAATGGTGGCACATTGGGGGTAGAGAAATTATATGTGATCATGCGCGCATTGTATTTGCCGTATTTGTCTTTTCCTTCTGGCTGTCTAATATAGGAATTACAAATATCCCCTCCTGCATAGGTGTTATCTACAGAATGAAATTGTTATTATTGTAGTAGTTGTAGTAGTGATAGTAGTAGTATTATTATTATTATCATTATTATAATAGTGTATTAAAGGTACATACTCATATATTTAAACTGACACGTGACATTAAATCTGTAATTAAAAGCGATGTCCAAATCTATATTTGATATGGAATCATTCATTAATCAATCTTAAATAAACAAGAGTTATAAAAGAACAAAATAAATATTAATTTACTTGGCATCGGTATATAATCTCTCAAGGCACGTTTAATTTTCACCACCGGTCTCTGAGTAACCACAATCCAAATTTCGGAAAGTGCATAAAGAAACGCAATAGTCAAGCACAGCCCCCAAAGACATAATTGCAGTCTTCTAAATGTTTTTGTTTCTCGTTTCCTGCGTCTCTGTTTTTCACGGAGACCTTCTTCGATGCCACCATCACTTGACATGTTATTTATTGTCTCTTAATAATATATTTTTTTTACTAGGTTTTCGTTGATTTTCTTTTAAAATGGTGGAAAAATCTACGCACTCACTCGCACACTACACGCGAATACTGTCCAAATTCTTTGCTCTTACTGTCGCGTCTTACAATAACGACTTTTTTATTTTAATATTTAACAAGCTACTTTGGCACGTCTCGTAAAAAAAAACTTTATACAAAGTCATAAAATTGAGAAGACGCGAGAAACATCACAAAAGCAAAAATGTAAGGAAACAGAATCGAGAACGTGTGATGGGTGGATAAAAAATTAAAGTGCGAATGTCAACTTAATCTAATTTCTGCAGGTTGTGTAACCTGTCGTGTCCTAGTACTCGGTTTTTACTTCTTTTGGGAGACGGGGATAATTTGAAAAGAGCGACGAAAACAATTACGATTGTAACCATTCTACTCTCTTTCGCGTTGAATCATTCAAAAGCTTAGGTGTGTGTACTGATTTGGTTCAAAGAGTCCTTTTTGACGGCGTCTCGTTAATTCTATTTCTTTTTGCATCTTTAAGATGCAGCACAACGCATTCATGAATGATATTGAGACGAAAAATTTTCCAACCCTAAACGGAAATATATGTCGGGCACAAATGCCAAATTCGTGATACAAATGACATTGTTTGGACAGCACGAGTTTTATTTATAGCATTATAAAAAACATTCTGGTTTTAGTGTTGAATTTTACGAGAAAAAATTCGTTCACTTTTAACTAAAAAAAAATTGAACCCAATTTTAGATTATGCTCGTGACCAGACATGTCTGAAATTTTGAATAGCGAATAACAATTTTTACAAAGTTTTATTTTTGATTACTTGACCATTAAATAATAGTTCATGTTCTTTTGTGTAATAATACACGAATATTATTAGACATTCTTTGAGGATTGCGATCTATTCGAAAAATTCAGAATTAATAAATGTATTAGATAAAAATATAAATATACGATTTATTTCAATTTACCAAGTCGTGATCTTCTCATAACATGTCCATAAACTCCGTTTAGCATTATTTGAAGTCGATCCAGCCTCGCGCCTAATATATCAAATATCGGTTGTTGTACGTATTCTCGATGCTGCACATCTTGAGTTACTCGGTTCACAAATGCACGCCTCCTTTCGACCCAAGAATTGAAGACCTCTTCGTCACTGCTCTTCAAAGAATTATATTCTTTTAATGCTTGTTCCACATCTTTCATCCAATATATTCGTGACGCGCCCGAATACGAATATAGTATTAAGGATAATACATCGGAAGGAATATTCCATTCGATAAATAATTTGTCGTGACTGTCAAAATAAGAATATAAGTTAACATGTAAAAATGCTGTTGTACTTCATATTAATGAAGGTCAAAATTTCCATACTTCATGGGAATTGTTGATTGTATGGTGGATAAAAATCATACCTCAATGTTCTCTCGTCTATACAAGGATCGCATGCTCTGACACGTAAAGCCCAATGAATCTTAGCTGCGTTTCTACCACAAAATTGACAACCTTTCTCAAGCTGACTTAGGACATAATACTGTTTTTCGTCAAGTGTTTCCGGTGGTGGTAATTGAAGTAAACGTAGACATCGAAGACGAGCTAAACGCCAGATTTGTTGGGTTGCTGAGGACGTTGGAGAACAAAGAAATTCTTTGAATTTTCGACACACACAAGTCAGAGACAAAAGATCACTTGGGGAAAGATGTTCACAAATTATTGCAAATATTTCTGGTGGAATTTCTGTGGCTATTGTTTTCGTTGTCATTATCTTTTGACATATCATCGTTTTTTTCGAAAAAATTGTGATGATGATATTTGTACTTTTCTACTAAGAAGGGGAAAAAGCTAGCACTAATTTTTAAATCAGCAAAATAAAGTAATTTAATAGTAAAGAAAACTTGAATAGGGAGAATGAGAGGATTATTATATTCTTCATTTTTTATATTGATCATGCAGTGAAACTTTCTGGATGATAAGCTGATCAAGGGAATTTAAAAACGCTTTTGTTAACAATTATCCATTAATACTTATCGTTATGGTTTTAATACGTGATAGCATACATGTGCATATCGATATTAATTATCAAAATGGCTTTTTTATATTTCTTATTTGGGCAGTATGCATTTTATAAGAGTAATTGTGCAAACATAATACGTTAAATAAAAATTCTAGTAACCCTTGACGAATAACAGGAATGAGAATTGTTAAAAGGGGTAATCTATCGTGATGTGCGTGTACGTACTTTGCACTTTTACCTTTGGCTGGAATTAATTACCGTTACCTAGCGCTAGACAAAAGGGATAAAAATGGATAATTTCCGTGACAAGTTGACGTTAAGCAAATCACAACAAACCTTAACCGTATCCTTTAACGTTAATGTGAAAAGTATTTAACGTCCAGAGTGGTTAGATTTACCGCCTACCGGTGGTGGGATATGTTAATCTAAAAATAAATATTCCGATTGGGCAAGAATAATAAAATTTTAAATATACGCGTGATTAAATATTGGGACTAAAAAAAGGTTTTGTGTAATTTTCCCTTCTGACTCTGTTACGCCATTTAAAAATGGTAGTTCATAAGAATGAAGTATACCCGATAATATTATTTCCTACTGTGATTCATCGAGGCTTGAATCAGTGATCTTGTATTCACACCACCAAACAAAATGGTCGACCAAAGAATTTAAAAGGTTAATGGGAAAAAAACTGCACAGTCCATTCACAAATGCCAAGAATTTTACACGTCCTACAACATGCAGTGAGCCCGTTTGTGTGTCTCAATGAATAAAGCACGGTTTATCTTGTATATTTTTTGGTTATACGTGAAACAAACCAACCAACATTGTTGTCGTTTTTGAATGGCTTCACAAATCAAAATCATTATAATAATAAAATCGTGTATCGTGTTTATTCGTTCTCAGTGTTTGTGTACTATAAATCATGGAATCGTGTATGCATGTTTCAATGAATGCTCTATTCAAAGAACCTCTTTCAAAAGGAAACAATCTAGAGGGGGTGGTAACCAAGTATAGAAATATTGACGACATTCATTTATCATTTTGTATTTTGTATTTATTCATCTCCCTTGAACAGAAAATTCCACGACATTTCTTTTTTATTGTGATTCAAAGTTTAAATTGTTGTTATCGTTACGTCAAAGATCTCAATGCTAATCATGCATGGGTGAAGCTTTATTTGCGTGTCTGTTTCTATGATATTTTATACATAAATGACGATTACACATTGATGCATTCTTTGGTAGAAGACAAATTACTTGATGAAAATTTATTTTTTTTTTCTTTTGAAAAGGCGACATCATATACACGTGCTCTGAGTTTCACATGATTTTAAGTTTTGAATCCGCATATATCATGTGATCATTGATTGGTACCTGAAAATAAAAAACCAGAGTAAAACGATAATCAATACAAAATATTACGCCAAAGATCATATATTCTGTGTTGCATGATAACGTTTAATAACGCGCGTATAAAATGATACTTAATTTTTTATTACATGTATGTACATGTCATATTCTTACTAGAAACGCTTTATTCATTGTCAGATCCTGTCGGATAATCTTAAAAAAGAAGTCTAATTTCAATTATTTTGGCGGAAAAGTCTAGAAAAGGAAAAAAACATGAGATTTTTGCGTTTAAGCAAATTAAAAATTTGAATAGGTACAACGTCCAAGTATGCATTTAACAAGTCATATTATTCGCGCGGAAATACAATTTCTCCCCTTCCTGTTCAGATTCGAGATTTCTTAATTTTCAATATATCTTTGTGGTATAAGAATCTTAACCTGGATTGATAATTAGATCTCATATATTTTTAATCCTACCAAAAACTTTTTTACCTTCAAACGCATCTAAAAAAATTGATACGTAAATTTACTTTATCGGGATAATTACAATTATCATATATTCGTTTAGTAAATAAAACAATTCTAATTTATTAATTTACTTTATTAAAATAATATTCTAAATAATAATAATTATAATTATATTAAAACTTACAATATGTATTTTTTTTATTTTATATTAAAGTCTATAGTTTAATATATATGTTTTTCAATTAAGTTCCATTTTTTAATTAGAAAAAATTTTAATGATAACTTTATAATTAGAACAATTCTTTTAAAAAAATTCAAAAAAAATATATATTAAACTATATAATAACAATTAAAAATAATGCAACACATAAATTTTTTACAAATTTTAATTAGTAAAATACATGTTTTTTTTATTATTTATACCTTTACAATATATTATAAAAAAATTAGTAAAATATAGTAAAATTCAAAAATTTCTCTATATTTAATTTTATTAATATAGTAGTAATCAAAGGTATCTGATCTTCTGTAACTTTTTAAATTGAAGATAATTATCTTGAAATTTTCAGTATAGATAATAAATCTAGTTTCTATGAGTTTTTTTATAATTTTATAATTATTATAACAAAATTTAAATGAAAGCTGAATTTTAAAATTAATTTTTTATATAAATAAAAAAATATTAATCAAATATATAAAAAATAATTATATTAATAATTTTAAATAAAAATTTAATATATTAAAATCAAGTATTCTTATATTAGTAACAAAAAATTTGATAAATCTACTAAGATAATTATTAAGAAATTAAATTTTAAAATTTATTAAATTTTAAAATTTAATTTTTCAACAACTAACTTATTAAATTATATTAAAAAAAATAATTAATACAAAATTTAAAATTTAATTTTATTGACTTATTAATTATATTAAATTTTTTATTATTAATATAAAAATACTTAAATTTTAATATAGTAAATTTAATTATTTCAAAAAGATTAAAACAAAATATTTTTAATATAAAAGTTAAAATAGATTAATTAATTTTAATTACTATTATAAATATTTTTAATTTTTATATCAAAATAAAGATAAAAATTTAGTTAATATATATTTTTCAAATTTTATAAATTTTTTTAAAAGAGTTTTCTAATTATAAGATTATTTTAAAATTTTTTATTAGTAAAAAAATTTTAAAATAATTTAATAATTAAATAATTCTTTTAAAAAAATCTGAAAAATCTAAAAAAAATATATATTAAGAAAAATAAAAAATATTATTAATAAAATTAAAGCTTTTTTATATAAAATAAATTTTGAATTTATATACTTTTTTTATATTTTTAATAATATATTATAAAAATATAATACTTATATTTTTTTATTAATTTTTTATATTTTTAGAAATATTTAATTTTTAAAATTTAATATAATATTTAAATTTTTATTTTTATTAATTACTAATTTATTTAAATATTTTTTAATTTTGTTAATTAATATTATAATTTATAATTATAATTAATAAAATATATATTTTTCTTATATATAAAATATTTATTTTATTAATAAATATTTTTTATTTTCAATATATAATTTTCTAGTTTAATATATATTTTTTTCAGATTTTTCAAGTTTTTTACTAAAAATTTATTTATATTATATATAATAATTTTTATAATTATAAAATTAAAAGATTAATTTTATTAATAAAATATAATAAAAATAAAAGTTTTTCTTTTATATTAAATTTTATAATTTTATTTTTATATTAAATAAAATTTATAAATTATATTATCTTTAAATATTTTAAAAGAATTATTTTAATTATAAAATTAAACTAAAAATTTTTATTAATTAAATTTTATTTTTAATTAGCAAAAATTTTATATTAAATATATAATTAAAATAATTCTTTTAGAAAAATCTGAAAAAAATATATATTAAACTATAACTTATAAATTTTATTTTAATATAAAAAGAAAATTATCTTTATATATAATATAAATAATTTTTAATAAAAATTTAAAAAAATATATTAAATTAGAGAATTTTTTTAATCAAAAATCAAAAATATTTATTAATAAAATTAAAAACTTTTTTATATAAGAAAAATATATATTTTATTAATTATAATTAATAAAAAATTTATATTAATTATAAGTAATATTATATAAAAATTTTAATTTTACTAATAAATATTTCTTTTAAATTTAAAATAAAATTATTATTTTTATTTTAAAATATATTTATTTAGATTTTTTAAATATTTTTCAAGAGAATTATTCTAATTATATATATATATAATTAAATATATTTTATTAATTATAATGATGATCAAAAATAATAACTCAGAAGCTAAATTTACTAATAAAATATAGTGAAAATTGAAATTTTCTCTCTATATTAAAATTTATAATTTTAATAA